ATATTAAAAATGCAAATGTTAGTTATCCTCCTTTGAGCTTGAACTTCAGTTAACAATAAGTATGACCTGTTCGAGTGAGTCTTTACCAGTCCAATAAGCAAAAGGCATTTTCAAGTAAATTTTCGAGAATGCATCATGTGATATGCATCAGTGATAAGTTAAGGATTGTCCAATGATATATGATTAGGAATATCAGTTATTGCAGTCTGTTTTATCCATAGCTCTCCTCAGCTCCATATCCCATCTGCAGTGTGTGTCATCGTTTAATCATTGTTATTTCAACACATTTGAAAGTACCAGTCCACGATCCAGATTATGTTAATAAAATGAATTCATAATTGCAAATGATATTCCCAGCTGATGTCTCATTTTTTTGGCAGTTCGGTTGTCGATTATCGACAATGTGTTTACTCATCAGAATTTTGTGAATCATAACCGAACGGCGTGTGTTATAGAGTGCTTTGTAACGTTATAATTTGTAATGAAACTAATGAAAATCGATCTGATCAAGTCGTGTTGATGTTAAAATCGAAACTGAATCCAATGTGAAATTTCGTTAAATTGTAATACTTGCTGGAAAAACAGTCAGATTTTAATCAGATAATGGTTTACTGGGATCTTTCAACGCTGGAAACTTGATGTCGTATCCAATAGTATACATGTGAAAGCATATTCATACGTCTAATCGAAGAAGAAAAAGAAATAATGAGCAGAGAAAATGTAATTGAAATAGATTTTTCAGGTAATCAATTATACGAATTTATTATGAGCAGTAGTGGTTATGGTTATGGTGGCCAAAGTTTCAATAACGGCTACCAGTATGTAAACGATTCTCAACAAGGCAAGAATTGGAGCGGGGGAGATGCTGCAGCCAATACGCATGTCCCCCCTCCGGTTGTAAGAGCCAGTACTGATGCACAGCCACAACACGGTCGGTACTCCTGATCTCACATTATACTCATCAACATGCTCTTATAACAGGCTTTTGAATACCCACTAGGGAGCCATCGAACGGCGACATGAACTCGAATTCATCCTCATTACGAAGTTTTTTGAATGAGGAATTCACATTCAAGCATTACAATGATACTCCTCAGCAATAATAAGCTGGACAGTTTTAATGAGATAAAGCGAACCAGCCCAGCCAAGTCAAATAACATACAACATTTCAATTTTACATTCAAATTATCTTGTGAAATATGAGTCCGCAAGCAAATGCTTCATTTTGTTTTGATGGCATATCAACAGAACATACTTTTATCTTCTGCGATGATGCATCATCCATCATACAGATTTGAATAAAGTTTATCTCATTGGTGATAATAAAAATTCATTTGCATACCTTGTGATAGTGGTGTATGAATTAAAATACTCAAATGGTATGTATTCTGTTAAAGTGTTTCAAATGCATTAGAAGATCTGTGAAGCAGCACGCAATAACCTCATCTCGAAATCATCATATGAATGGCTGAACATTCTCATTAATCATAAGATGTATTTGAGCTTTAAGCAAACGTTTATCAAAGAAGCTGATTGCGAAGAAAATTTCAAAATATGAAAGAGCGAGTATCATTTGATCATATCATTCTGCCGAAACTACTTTTCATAACTCCATCTGTAGCTGCAAAATTTTCCCACAATGCCAAAACAAGCGTAATGTTAAGAGTTGATTTGTAATAGCGTATGCCGGTTCAGAATCGCGTTATATTCCTCCACATCTGCGTCATGCGACCGCACCTGATTCGATTCCCGAAGGAGGACCAGCACCTGACACCTGGTCACGTGGACAACAGCAGTACCAGCGTGGTGGTGGGGGTCAGGGTGGAGCGCCACGCGGTGGATATGTCGGTGGTGGAGGTGGTTCGATGAGAAAGAGTCAAAGCTTTACAGGAATGCAGCAACCGGTATACTTTCGAGAATACTTGACTGCATATTACGCAGCACACAATATTTTATTAGNGGGGTCAGGGTGGAGCGCCACGCGGTGGATATGTCGGTGGGGGTGGTTCGATGAGAAAGAGTCAAAGCTTTACAGGAATGCAACAACCGGTATAGTTTCGAGAATACTTGACTGCATATTACGCAGCACACAATATTTTATTAGCAAATTCCACGGATAGTATCAGTGATAATGATGGCAGTAATAGTACAGCAAATATCAGATTATTGTTGATAATGCTATTATTGCATGTATCAACGCTGCGATCATTCATGTATCGTAAAATTAATTCATCACCTAGAGGTTTTCATTAATTTAGCGGTAAATGTTGCTTGCATTCAAATTGGATGCAAACCGGAAATTCACCATGAAATTCACCATGCATTTTTGCAGCTCTCAAAACTTTCATATGTAAATGTTTGAATGCATCGAATCGTGCAAATGCAAAGGAACAAGCCAATTCGTTTTCAAAAGGCAAAATGAATTCGCAAAAAATGATGAATGATCAATATATGAAATTCAAATTTCAAGCACAATGAAATTGGGGGACAAAATTGGAACAGTGGACAAGGCGGCGGTTTTGAGTATCAGCCGACTTTGGGCGGTCAACCAGGTCGTGGTCGAGCTGGATTCGGACCACCGACCGGTGGGTTCCGCAGCGGTACTGGGGGACATTCGCGTGGACGTGGCGCATCGAACAGAGGAGACGGCGGTGACTTTGGGGGTGGTCGTGGAATGGGTCCACGTCCCAATTATTCCGGAAGATATTCATATGACAGACGGTGAGTGCACATGCATTGGCTGATATTAAGCGACTGATCTCTGAGGGTTGATTTAGTCGGATATTCCATAACAAGTGAAAAAACCCGACAGAAGTTTTGTTTCCGAGTCAGTGCCATCAACATTAGCTGAACTTGCATAAGTAACGATTAGCTGTTTGAGAGGAAGCGCTTAGCAAATGATTATTCTATTCATTGTTTGGTACGTCTACGTACTGAGTGGTTGAAATTCTTCTTATCGAGAATTTCCAAATTTGAATGTTTCTGTGGCCATTTAACTCTAACGAGTAAAATGGAAAAAGTTCAACGAAGCATTGGGGAATGCTACGGTTCCATTGCTGCTGATACCTCCTTCGATAGTTTAAATACTGCCAGAAGAATGCCATATCTCCCACCTCATTTGAGATGGCCGAACGGTGCAGGTGCTTACACCTCTTACGGACAGTCACCAACCCGTCTATTGCGTACCGCTGACCGATCAAAGCCAGATGTTTTCATTCGTGGTGGTTTAGGTGGTGGTGGGGTTGGGCGATGTGCTAGGTTTGTCCATAATCGTCCCACCTACAAGGGACGGGTTTCAGATGGCTACTGTAGTGCATTTTCAAATTCAGCCACTCGAATGCAACGTTATGCATTGTCAAATAATACATCAACGAGAATGTCCATGCAACATCATGGCAAATTTTCATGTGATAGACGGTACGAAAACTATTCATTAGTTTTCACTGAATTGTTTTGATGAGGTACCACTTAAAGAAAGGAATTGATGGGTGATTCCATGTCTAAGTATGAGATGTGTGAAAAAGCAGCTAATCATTATTCATGAATAAAGCAACTCCGAAGCAAATTGATTGACATCAAAGAGCTCTTCATAAGTTGATGATTTCTCATTTCAGAACGATGCACGATGAGCAGCAGTGGGGTTCACAGCATCAAGGAGGTGGTGGAGGATTCAGACGTCAAGAGAACGACGTGCCTGAGTTGGTTTTTCAGAGAATGCTTCCAGCAATTTGTTGTTTGCTTCGGGAAACAACTCTCATAAAACTTTCAGCTCAAGCAAACATGGCAACAAAAATGACCAACCGTTTCATTAGTGCAAAGCTGATGGCTTAGTCGAAAGATTGAGACTTACTGCAGATGAATTCACCTTACATGATTATCGCCTATAGTTTAGTGTTGCTTGAAATACCAGTTCGGGATGTTCGTAACTCACTATCATTATCAAGATGAGAGTCGATCTTCGAAGCCTATCTGACTAGAGAGCAGCTGGGCGTTGAATAAGACATTATAAGACGATAATAAGGCATTGAATAATAGCACTCATTCGAAATTTATTCGCTCTGGTCGTTCATCGCATTCATTGATGATGAATCGTTCAGAAATCCTCGTTGGGCTGCTCTCCGTGATCCAATTCCGGAACGTGTCCCCAAATGGACCGAACAATTACCGCGCGATGAGCGTCTTGAATCAGAGCTATTTGCCGGTATGAATTCTGGAATCAATTTCGACAAATACGAAGAGATCCCAGTGGAAGCAACTGGACAAGACTGTCCACCACCGATATCGCTCTTCGGTGATCTGAAATTGCATCCGTGGATCGAAGAGAATATCAAAATGTCTGGTTACGGTCGTCCCACACCCGTACAGAAGTACTCAATTCCGACACTGATGAACAATCGTGATCTGATGTCGTGCGCACAGACCGGATCCGGTAAAACCGCGGCCTTCCTGGTGCCACTCATCAACAACGTTCTCCAGGATGGTCCTGAGGCATTGTACCGTTCGCAAACACAACAGAACGGTCGTCGTAAGCAGTATCCGGCCGCACTGATCCTGTCACCAACGCGTGAACTCTCTCTACAAATCTACAACGAATCACGCAAGTTCGCCTATCGCACACCGATCACTTCAGCGCTTTTATACGGTGGTCGTGAGAATTATCGTGAACAAATCAATAAACTTCGTGTGAGTTTCATCTCTTCTGTGCAGCACATCCTCGTTTCGTGTTGACAATTTTCCTTTTTCAAACTTCGAACTGATTTATTATATTACCGAATCGAGGATAAGTATCCTCGATTACTCACTTCTCAATGGCCCATTCGAGTTCAGTGCGCATCAGTTGTGTGTTCATTGTCGTCGAATTCATTGAGCCAAAAATTGTTTCTGTAACTGATAAGACAGACCGTATTCGTCCATCTGCAGTCTGTCGGATGTCTTACGTACAGGTTCCAAGATCAAGCTGAACTTTTTTCAGTTGGGTGTACACATTCTGATCGCTACACCGGGCCGTCTCATTGACGTGATGGAACAAGGTTATATTGGCTTAGATGGTTGCCGTTTCTTGGTTCTGGATGAAGCCGACAGGATGTTGGATATGGGTTTCGAACCACAGATTAGACAGGTAGGTACATTGATGATTGTTGAGTTTGATTTGGATTCAGTATCGTTTAGGTTTCGATTAGCTTCAGTGGATGTTTATCTGGTGGCACAGATATCGTTTGGCGAGCGTGATTTTAGTTGATTATTATGAACTTAACATTAGATGTTGTAATATGTTGTGTAGTGATTATTGACTCGCCTTGCAACTAATCTGAATTGGATGAGTGATGCAAGCAGAATGCTATGA